TGACTGGATGGGTCTCCAAATCTTCAGATCATCCGCGTACAATAGACATTCCGATTCCAGGCAGTCTGGCAGGTCGTTGATGAAAAGCAGAAATAGTATTGGCCCCAGTACTGATCCTTGCGGAACGCCACTAGAGACCGTTAACCATGGTGATCGTGCCCTTGACGCTTTCACGAAGAATAGTCTGTCCCTCAGAAAGTCATCTATCCATGACAGCAGCCGGCCCTGGATGCCAAAAGAGCATAATTTCACCGGTAACTTCGAGTGAGACACCATATCAAACGCTTTGCTGAAATCCACGAACACAACATCCGCAAGAAAACCTTCAGCTTTAGACTCCGCCTAATGCTCACGTGCCAACAGGAGATGAATGGCAGCTGAACGAAAAACAAAACAGGTACAATGAACTCACCGGAGGTAGAGATTATCCGATCCAGCTGCTTGATAGCCAGTTGAGTTGTAAGTTGTAGTTCTGTAAAGAGTAAAGTAAGTCATTAGAAGAAATATTATTGGATCAGTTTGAGATGGAATGAGATTCATTTACGCTGAACGCAAGGCGCTTGATTCATTTTAGATTCACTGGAAATAGAAATGTCTTTTAATTATTGACCTTTGACTAATGTTTTGTCCTTGTTGGGGCTCGTCAACAGTGCTAACGTTTAAAGTCCTTGCCTGGGATCAAACAACGAACCTCCGAAGTGAGTCGAAACCCTTACTATCTGCGATGCGATCACCGTTCATTACTTTGTGTAAACTACTGTGTGATATCAAAATGTTTTACTTCGTCGGGTACTTGGCACGGACACAATTTGCGCAATGCTGATTACTACAATGAAGGACGAATTGGTATCTAATTGTTAGTAATCCATCACCACTCCATCGCCATTGAGGTGCATTTTACAAAATTTGGAACATACGAAACCTCGTGAGAGTAAAATCCACACCGAAGGTTGTGCGCAATGTCTTGTTTTAGTACAAATCAAGCGAGGTAATTGAACGATTCAATGATTCCTGGAAATATCACATAAATGCTGTCAGGTTCTTTATAGAACAGATCAAATCATGAGTTGCGAGTTCACGTGAATGAAAATGAGGCTCACCCAGGGCAAACTGTTCGTTGCACGGATTCTTATTTACCACCTTCGTTGACAGTTCAAACACTGAAAATCAAAAAAATGGGTAACATAATTGCAACAACCTCTGAACGCTGATTATGATAACGAAAAGAAAATGTTTGTCAAATACCTTATATGTTTATGTGTGGTTTCTGCATACCGAACTGAAGTAATCGGTAAAAAAGACATTTCACTACGATTTCCAAATCAGCTTCTTTGGTCTGGATGGAGGTTGTCTTACGTATTGAGTGGCCCGGTTTTCAAATGTCACTGTCAAATGGTGACCTTGTTGGTACGACCTATTCTGACGAGCTTTTCTTCTGGAAATAATGTGGAACGATTGTAGCTCGGGATATGTATGTTGGTGGTGGTGAGTTCTCCGAGCTGGAAGTGCTGTTGTTCGCAAACGTTTCGTAACTAGGCTAGGCAACAACATCAGTGCAACTTCGGGAATGTTGCCTAGCCTGGCTACGAAACCTCTGCGAACAACACTTTCAGCTCGAAGAACATACCAGCACCAACAAGCTTTTCCTCTTTTTGTTCATCTTTTTTTGAGTAAGTTAAAGTAGATCCTCCACTGAGTTTTTAACGAGCATTATCATTAATTTTATTTGATATCGAGTACGATTGGATGCGATTTTCATTTTAAAGTAACTCGAAAGTTTTGAGTGAATGTACCACCCCCAGATTGATTGAATGGTCACGTAGTTACATGATGCCTTCACGTATCATTCTTTTAAAACTGAGGGCCACTTAAACGTGCGTCACAGTTGGAATCGCTTAGCAAAACGCAGTGGATCCATTTTGCTTGAACACAAGTCTAACCGTGAGCAGCGCTTTCCTTTCAAACTGCAAAAATCCACTATAAATTATTTCCTTTGTAATGAGACCTCAAAAGATGCTCTCAGCATGGTTGAAACAGTGTAGGAATCACTTATGTATGAGCTGCGATATGCTTAGACATCTCCCTACTCGGCCAACTCTTTACTCACAATTGAAGTTTAAATGGTACCATTCTTTTCATTGGCCTTCCTCTATTCATAGGTCGTATAATAGTTTCCCACCTTATATGGCACTGTAGTTCAGCTTGAGAGATCACTTTCCAGACAGAGTTGTTGCATGGATGACCTATTGGATGTTATCGGTGCAACGGCAGCTCTCAAACAAACTTGCTTTCTAAGCCATTCAAGGTTGCTTACTTTGTCAGAAGCCATTTCAAATGCAATGATCTCAGAGATATTATAAATGGTCTCTTTTGAGCCTCCTTCTGTACGTGAAGCCGCTTTACGCGCTCAGAATAACCTGTTTATTTATCCAACAAGTTTGCTGCTACTAAAGCATTTTTATCACGCGTATTTTGTGGACTTAACATGTCAGTCTGTACATTCTCACTCATTAAAATGCAGTTATACTGACGTAAGTGCTACGCTCAGCCAACTGGGAGAATGTTTCAGCATCGTATTTTATTTCAGTTCTACATACCGTGCTCCTAATTAACACTCCATCCAAATTAACGAAAACTTCTTGAATACCAACGACGCAGTTTCGTCGCTTCGTGAAATGATTTCACCACCCGTAATTCACCTCTTAACCGATACAGCCACCTCGCTCCACCATCCTGGTGGACGACCAAGAATTCATACCTGGACTTTTGCGAAACTCCTTGGAAGCGTCTACACTGCAGTTTACGTATTGTTAAAAACATCATGACCTAGTACGACCGGTCCAAAATATCTACATGTAATATATTAAAAAAATTGCCATGTTCCTGAATTTTGAAAACTTCATTAGTCAGCTTTATGCAATTTTTTTTTAATTAGAAATATTTAGCATTGTTTTAATAAGTGAAGAGAGTAGCAGCCCAGTTTTAGCTCTTATGCGCATCAAATCAATGTCTAAAAGAGGATTCTTGACGTATTCAGGTATTCCATTTTGAAGTTACTTACATTGTACGTCGAACTGAATCAAATCAGTGAAGTCCTTCATGAAGGCGGCTGAACTGACTATTTCTGCAATGCAATTAATTCATTCATTCATTTCAAATGTGAATTAGAGAATGAACAATAGAACACAACATTAAACACGATTTTACTAACGACCGCAATTTTTGAAGTCAATAGGGGGCTCACCAGATATCAATCCATGAGACTCAGAGCATATGACAGGATTAGAAAGACCCCAGCTTTTTGGAACATTTTTTGGCCAATCGAGTTGGCCACGTGCTCATGGTGTGGACACGGAACCATGACCAGTTGTAGTGGAGAAGTTCTGTATTGTATGTATACCAGTAATGAGCGATATTGTTCTAGCGGAGTATGTGCGTTCGAGCCCCACCATCATCGCCTAATGTTCTCCATTTATTTTTAAATGAAATTCAGTAATTTAGCTGTTTAATTTTAGTTTCATAAGAAGAAATTTTAAAAAAGATATAAAAGTCACTTATGGAATATCACAATTAATCTAAATCATTAAAATTGGAGATGCGAATTCGATTCAAGCATTAGTTAATTAAAATTTTGCATTAAATTGTGAGAAATTGTTCCTAAGTGTTAGGTGGAGTAATGAACCGAACATACTTCTGTAATGAGTACATTATGTTCAATTATAAAAATGAGTACAGCTTGTTGTTAACGTTCCTACTTGATTCTGTGTAACAATTACCAGATAAATAGTGTGGCAAAATACTGCATATATATATTCTAAGGTAAAGCGCTTCTCGTTTAATAAGAGGAAGCTTACCTCTTCCAGAAAGTCCCACTGTGTAAAACAAATAGATGTTAAAGGTTGCACTGAAAATTATTCACCTGAAAAGTACATCCCACACACTTTTGGGTCTGATATCCAGATTTAGTGAACTCTTCTCCGTTCGCTTCATTGTGGAAATCATTACCTGTCCCCAAAGCTCTCGGTCGGCTGATTGCAATAATCAACAATCTGCGAATAAATTTAGCACTGAAACGTTTCCCTATTGTAGTAACTGGTTCATTAGTAACAAGATGATTCACCTCAACAACTGAAGCTCGCATTTGAGACGTTTACTGGTTATCCGCAAGAACTCCGCATACATTGTGCGACTTTATCCGGTCATAATCAGTATAGCGCCGTAATTGAAGCCTATTCAACCGGTGAAACCAACGTGACCCGACCGTGGTTGTGCGTCCGTGGTTCAGTGAGTCGTTGGACAAACTTTTTCTCTATATGTGTTTCCTTCCACGTACTTCTGTAATCAGTTGCACCTCCAATTGTGAACTCTCTGTCAACGAAAGACTTCTCGGTGTCCGTCAAAAGTTATTTTAATCAAACCGTTTGCATTACAGTTAAACTAGAACGGTTATTTGTTTAAGCACAGCATATAGAATGAATTCACTCGCTTTGTAAGGCCTATTACGGAACTCTTATTTCCACAGTAACTAGTTTAAATTGGGCCAAAGAAAGTAACTAAAGTTTGGTTTGAAGAAATACCCAGATACGAGATACCCAGATAGTAATTAAAGACCTTGAGATAAAAAAAATTGATATCACCAACTTACTTTTAATCTTATGGTCCATCGTGTTTGCGATGTTGCGCAAATAAAGATCTTTTCTTTTGAATGCTGTTAGGAAAAACAAAAGATATTATAGAAGGAATTACTCACACTTACGGCGCTTCACAATTTTATGATGACTTAGAGCGTAAAACTATTAGATTATGTTTTATTGGCTCTGTTACAACGCACTAATTTCTACTGAGCATTCACATCATTTAATAAAACAAATCTGCTGCCGAAATTAGCTAACGTGTGAATTGGTACTAGTTGTTTATCTGGACTAAATTTTATCAGGTCCAAAATGCAGGTGTTTTGTGCTATTTAACGAACTAGCCAAAAATAACAGTGACTTTTGCGCAAATAACCCGTTAATTCTCTCAAATATAATAGTGTTTTTCTTCTTCAGTCCTCTAACTTATGTATTACAAACGTACAGCGGGTTAGTACCCCGAAGTAATGATTGATTTCTGGCAGTTTTGGCTATAAAAATTATTATTCAGATAAAATAAATTTGGCGAAAGACATACCTCGGCCAATTTCAAGTGCAGGGCCCATGTCGTCTACAGGAGTAGGACAAAAGATCAAACGGTTATAGACAGAATATTCCTCAGAACGTCTGTAAACTCCACATTGCTTTGAAAATAGTGTATTTAAAGGCAGCAATATATAACTTGATGAAATAATGAAAGCTTTTTGCAAAAAGGCTGAAGTCCCACTCAAACAAAAAATCTGAAAACCTGACTAAGCATTCATGATTTGAAGAGCTTCTTTTGTACATAAATATGTATTCCTTATATACCACTGAAAGCAACGGAGATGAAAAGTACCAAACTATTAGCCGTTTCTATTAGGAGGAGTCACTTGTTGGAGAGTCAACCGCAGTACGCCTGTAATTCATGGCTGGCTATACATGCCAGCTTGTATTACTTGTCAGTTTCTAAGATGAGTTTTCACTTAGAACGAATCAAAACCAGCTTCAGCAGACCTCATTTCTGTGTTCAGAGTATGTCGTCCGTAGATTTTAGAACACACACATATAAGTGATGTGTAAAAACAACTTTGGTTGAACTTTTTATGAAACATTTGACAGGCACACCTCAAATTACTTTTTCATCTGAACAAGATTACTCCATAAATTACTGAAACACCGGAAAACCATCTCTCTGGAAGAGGGGAGAGGTCAATCTGATAACTCACCTACAACTATGCGGTTGTATCCTCCGTAATTGTCACTCGTATTCACCTTGGCCTCGTAAGCGAAAACTTGAATTAGAGAGACATAAGAATTTAATTAAATATATTGATGCTGTGTAAACATGATCCCCACAAGATCTGCATTTTTTAGATCTAAATGCGGCCTGGAATAAGTTTTTGCTTTTATAAGTTCACAAGTAATAATAGAATGAACGAAGTTCAACACATATTATTGATTCAAATTGAAGCTTTTATCAACATACTAATTCTTCTCTCTGCTAATCAACTTACATTCTCGGTTTATTATATATTGAAGAGATTAGTTAATGATCCACAGTGGATTACCCAAGATACAGCATTTCCTCTTAATGTCTGGTTTGACTCAAAGTATACTGGATATTCTTGTTGGGACGGCAAAACCAGGGTGATCGTTTGAAAAACCACGGACACGGTTTTCACCTGGGGTAGCTAAAAAACTTTTAAAGCCAATAATTTTGTCAGTACATAAACAACAATCTGTCTAAAAATATCTATCATTGAATGAGTACAATTGAAATAACAAAATAAACGGATTCGCAAAATCAACTGCAATAAATGTGCTTACGAATAACGTCATGCTCGATTAACGCCAATGCAGTCCGTTGTGTGTTTGTATCCGATGCTAGTAAAATAGATTGTCAGAGCGTTAAAATGTGTTGAAATAAAACCAAACTTAGGCTTCATCTGTATGTAAATTAATGTTATTCCCATAACGTTTGATTTTCACTGTTCTAAAGGCATTCAATACCTTATAGTAAATCAGCCCAGATCAAACACGTAATCTCCGAATGCATTTCAGTGAATGATAACTGAAATATTAGGTGTGCAGTTATTTGTATACCAACTCCTAACTTGGTTAACTTTGCGCAAATCTGTCGGAGAATGTACCTCTAATGCGGTGGCAATTGTTCAGTTCGTTAGTTTTGGAAAACTTCATTACCCTCAGCACCGGCAAGCATCTTCATTGATAAGATCAGAAATTGCTTCCACAGTTTTTTCACATTACAATAGCGAGGGAGAGTGCAGTCAATACGCAAAAGACACCTTCAAGGATTAATCGCGTTCATCCGTCAGACGAAGAAGTCAGATAGAATGTTTTGTGATAGGTCGAAACTCCAATAAAATCGGGTGACACACAAGTTCATAATGTATGTACTTATTGAATGAAATGTAAATTTACACAAGAATTCTTTTTATTTCAGAAATCAGCAAAATCAGGCGTTTTGTTTTACTTACACTCAAAGGATTCCACCAAGGAGGTCAGCACTATGAGGAAGGAGTTGAACGTTTGAAAAACAATAGAAAATTGAAAGCACATGTGTTTGAAGCAATTCAGCTGCTAAATTGTCATGTCCGTTTGAGTAATCCTTCGTATTGAAACCGGCATTTGCTACCAAGGAGTCATATGAGGTTATGAACCGCGTTGCTGAAACATATTATATATATTTCGTGACACATTAAACCTGAGTTTTACTAATTGAATTGAAGAACGAAAGATAAAATAAATTATGAAACGTTCACATAATCAGTCCATGGGCAAAATTACTGGTTTCAGATGAAATGTCAAGCTTTTTAAATAAATCCGCATTACACATCAGCAGATTACCGCCGATCTTGATAACAACCAGTGGTCGCTGGGTTTGATTTGGCTTGATATTGTGTTTGATTCCCAAGAAGGGAGTAAGCAGGCAAACGTAAGGTTATTTTTCCATCGACACTGCAAAGAAGCTTGCCATAAGCGAGACGGAAAGACTGTTGTGACAACCGTAGAGAGTAAAATTTATTACGTACCGTCGAGATTCATTGAAAATGCGCCCAACGACTGGAGATACTGGTTTTCAAAGCAGTAACCTGAAATTAGATATTTTAGAATATTTATCGGTCAAGCTAACTGACTGTTCTATGTTGGAGTGGTAAAATAAAATGGCTATTATAATAGACCGTTTACTTTGAACTCTGCTGCAGTCAAAACTTACTGGGTGATGTGAAGAACCTGGATGTCGCATTCACAACTGTTGAAAGAAATCAAAAGCTTACATCGGTTATAAGTGACCAAATGCCTTTGTAACATTGCTGGGTAACTTCAGCTCCAATTCACACAATGCTGCAATACTAGATACGTTCTGAAAAACATTACACGACAGAATGTAAGAAGCATATTCTACCTATTATAAACCAATGAATTTTGGTCGCTGATTATTATTTGACTCCTAACAATGACATTACTGCAGACGCAGGACACCCGGCAAGGAGGTGAACTTACGCTGCAAGGACAGCAAAGCAACATCGTCCGCAGAACGCAGGAACAGATCATTTTTCAGAATTTCTGAAGTGAAAAATAAAAATAAACAATCAATCTTCAGTATATAACCCGAAAATATCGGTAAGTTGAGTGAACTCATAATGCGTTAACCCTCAAAACATGTGCACCAATCGATTTTTGGATGCTTCTTTTTGCTTGTGGAAAGATTTTATTGATAACAATTGATTGCCATCTGTATTTATAAATAGAAACTGGCATAATTTTTTCAGGAGATATTCTGGAAATCGGGTTATTCATTGGGAATCATAGATATTTGTAACACTGGTGCTCGTCAAGCTGCTTAAATGGTGATCAATAAGAACATTCACTCTCACGATACCATTTACTTTCTTCTCAGGTATTCTTCATAACGATTTTTAATTAACTTGATTGCTATGCATCACTATGTAGAAAGCCTTCCTTGGATTTTCCTCACACGTATCACGAGACCAGTAAAACGAATTATTTCCAAGTTACGATTTTCCGCCCATAAATAAAATCCCTTTAGAAGATCATTGAAAAATCCAGAAAAACGTTGAGTAAGCTACCGATTACACAGAAAGTCCGTCCTATATTTCATTGTTTATTTGTTTTTCTAAATAAATGTTCATTTAAACAAAAGACATGCCAATTTGGAAATAAAGCAAGGCTAAACCGGTTTAGGATTTTTGTTCTCATCCAGAACGGAACATCAAATCATTAGATTTTATAAGAACCGGTATATTATCAAACTGTATTTATTGAGAAAATTACAAATCGCATCCAACAAGTCAGTGTTCTACAGTCAATTTGAAGAAAAATCTATTGACTGCATCAAATTAGTAAAAGTGATACGTTGGATGACCGGAAGCTTATGACAGAGAACAAACAGAGGTACCCTTTATTGTCGGCATGTGTTTGCACTTGGGAAGTCTGGTGGTGCCATACACCAACTACCGATCTTATCCGTTTACCCTATCTAAATACGAAACTTCTTTGCATATCATTGTAATTGATGAGCAAGTTGTCTCGATGTATAATAGTGATGATAGAACGCAACGCACAGTGCCTTCAATATAAGATCGACCGACGGTAGTACAATGGCACCACCTGTATAGTTGATACATCGGAGCAGAATATATCGTTTTGTTTGTTTGTTCGTTAATTAAGGTCAAATAGTGTGTATATTCATGTTATTTGTGTTATTCTTCTGCATTTGAACGGATTCAGAATGCAATAACGATTCGCAACCGTTTATTAACCCCAAAATTTTGAAATGTTTCCACTATTAGATAACGTCAAATCGTTGAAAGTTTTCCGATCAGGAGTCGAAAACATTTCAATGTTTCACAATGTTCTTTAATGGAGTGCACTAATCAGAGGTTGATATGCCATTGTTTTCACAAATTCATCAGATCTCATGTTTGCAAAGAAATTCAGTATACCTTTTACTTACTTTCCGTCTTGCACAGATAATTGGACACTTTGCCCATTACAGCTCCAAGAAGACGAACATAAGCTGAAAAGTGTTAGCCAAGGAAAGGACATATTAAATGACATTTGAAAAAACCCTTTCATTACTAAACACCTGTTCGCAATCAGTCGGTCTCAGAATGTTACATGCTGTAAACGTGATAAAAGTAAATGTTCGGCAAAAAACGACTTACTCTGTGCCGTTTTTATTAGCAAGCGCGAAGCATCCTCACAGTCCCCAGAGCGACCTATGAAGAAATTGATACAATACAGTCCGGTTGGTATTGTCAGACAAAGCTTTATTTTCACCAGTCGATAACAACTAAACTGCAAACTTTAGGTATGTTTCAAACGATTATCGACTGATTGACATGACCTTTACACGGCCAGTAAATTGTGTGTTGATCTCGTTTGAGGTCGTTTTAAAACGTGCAGAAAATGATACTGCTTCATTTTGTTTTCTGTTTTGTACGTTTGTATAGATATTTTTTCAAAGTTGAAATTCAAGCTAACTAATGTATGGAGGTGAACAGTTTTTATTCACGCTTAAATATCATAAAATTATAGAAAAAAATGTGCTGTAAAAACTAATAGTGAATATTTGCAAAGTTAACTACAATACGTTAGTTCCGTTGCAAAGGTTATTTTGTACTTTCGCCCTTTTGAGAGAAGCAGGATCACCTTGTTAAAACGTTCATCAAGTTGTACGCATGCATGAACAAAGTTTTGCGTGTGGTCGGTCTAATCAGCATTCTTATATATTTGAAGATTCTCAATTCATATGTCCTGTAAATTTCATAAATTTGAATGCTCAGTCCCAAATCACATTTCAACTGTGTAACACCCGTAGTCAATAAAATCCATAGTTTTCAGATTGTGTAAACTCTGAACATTCTCTGTTAGAACGTATGTTGTGCAATGGTGTTCATGCCTTCCGAAAGTAGTTTGTAGACTAGCCGAAATGATGATCTTTTTACATTTTAATTCTATCTAATGTAAAAGTCAGTGTTCACAGAGCGTAATCTGCGTACACGCATCGGATCCCGCAGCAGTTGTTACATCATGTACTGATATAACCATGTGACCTAAAAATCTATTTTTTACCTAAATGGATATATTGGATAACTATTCATCACCGTGCACAAGTGCATTTCGTAATAGATAAAGCCGTACTCACCTGCCATCCTTATATTATAATCAAGGATTCTTGCAAATCGAGCCGTTTCCGAGATAGCTAAATGAGAAAGAATAAAGCATGCATTGATCTACATATATTGAATATTATAATAGTATAGTTCTAATTGGAAGTATATTTTTTTTTGTTCTGTTCCCATAAACTTTCCTTTGTTCTTAATATTTCAGTTTGGGGTATATTGGCGAAAATTGCAATCATGTGGTGCGGTCTTCAAAAGCACCGGTGTCCTCACCAATATGGCTTTTGTTATGTAAAGTCAAGTTTGACCCTTTATGCACCCCGAGAAATGAGTTGACAGCTGTCAGTACTGGTTAATGGTGCGATAACTTGGTGGCATAGGAAATAAGTTACATACAGACTTTCGAACCCCACTGTTCACACCGCACTGCGAGATTAATCTTTTTTATTGCGATATGCTTCGATTCATCACTAAACTTTAGGGGACGTTTATATCCCAACAGCTATATCCAACTCATTCTATACCTGAAGAATCTAGTGCGATCCTTCATCCTCATATGTGAAACCCAAAGCAAAATATTATTTTTCCTTTCCACAAGAAGAAAGAAAATTTTGTGCTAATCAGGTTTCTTGCTGGTCACAGCCTGAACAGACACACTCATTGATGGTAGAGTTTGTCAAACTCCCTAATCCAGCCATGTCTCACCTTTATTGTACAGGGAATTACAAAATAATGCCGGCGTAAGCACAAGGAATAGATGTATTTGAATTAAGATTCAACTAATTTAGGACGGTTAAAAACAAAAAAACATTTAAGAATATACAAGGTGCAAATTTAGTCACCACATGAACAACAACTGCCTTGGTGTCCTCAAGCGTTCAAGGATGGCAGAAGTACGGATCAGTCGATCGATACGTTTGTGGAACTAACATTTAGAAACTGTCACTATTTACTTTACTGTGCTCTACACCTATCTAAACATCCATGTAACCCGCGAGCTTGACGTCATATTGGGGTCAATCCACTTATATTACTCAACCATTTTTAAGGTACTGCTTTTGCTTACAAATCAACAATGGATCGCCAAACAGTATTAGGCAAAGCCTGCCAAAATGAATAAATAGAGAAAAACCCTAGATGAAGTACTTTTTTGAATTAGGACCATTAAAACTTTAAATGTTTTATAGTTTTGGTTTTCCACTGTGGTGAGCTCACCTGCTACAATGGCTTCGTGGATTCGAAGAACTGGACGGGCGCATGGGGCTGTGAACAGGGAAAATTCAAATGAAACAAACGATTATATTTAACTTCTTCAATTTTTAAAATTACTGCACAGTAATAGATTCCCGACTGGATTTACTGGATAATTTTCTCCTTCAGTCGAGAGAGCTACCGTGTTCTGTGTTTGTTGTAACAACCTTGCAATTTGTAATTCAAAATTACTCGAGCTGACCTTTGTCCTTAGAACACAATGGAAGCTGTCTCAGGACATTCAAGACCAATCATCAGTGTTAAAGGTGGAGATTGATTATGTTTAAAAAAACATAAGTAGATGTAACAACAAATAAAAAATACAATTATTAAGAGAATATCTGTCCAAAATGTTTAGAAGCTGAAACATTCACTCAGGTTACTAGCCTTGAATAAACAACATCGACGGATCTTAGTTATGAGTTACAGGGCAAGCTGGTGATGTAAATTAATTGGTAGTATCTTTATCATCGGTGAGCGTACCTCTTCCATTCAGAAATCGGTTTGCGTTCCGCCGGAAAAGGAGAGAATACAGTTGCGCATCTGAAAAGAGAAATGTGTGAAGAGATCTTAGTTTTTCTATGGAGCAAATAATCATAAATCCCTCGAACTAATTTGTTGCTGGTATACTTTGTTTGTTCTTTTCAAACGCATAAACTTGTCAAAACATGCTATAAAACCCTTACTTATATTGTCGATTACCAGATAAAATATGAATTATTGAAGATCATTTACTTACCTAGACTGGGCATGCAATTCATATTGAACTGAACTTTTATGTTTATTCCATCATAAGATCCGGCCTATTCACACATCCTGCGGTTGTATAGAAAGTTCTTTATCACCTTCACCACTGCCAGCATACGGCATTTCATCTGCCTCGGTTTGCAACGATAAAATTGACATGAGTGAAGCAGTGACTAACTATGGCACATTGATTGGTTAATTAGTTCACCCGGGGGCTTCGCTGATATTTTCTTGTCTAATCTCATGGCATAGCTTATCTTCAGTAATCTGTTTTTCCGTTCGCCCACCAGAAAACAATCGTTTTATTCATTTAACTGGTTTTACCGGAATAAACTGCGACATACGGATTATGAACACGGAAAAACATTCTTCTTTGACAATGGTTTGCGTTTACAACAAGTAAGTTTACTTCAACAGTGCCTCAATGGATTAACCGGGAGTAATACTGTGTGGTATTATAGGTTTATATCTTCCTTACAATGGGCAGTATTAAGCAAATTACGAGGGTATGTGAAAGTATTTGTTGAGATTATATATTTTTAAAAGGTCTAGTGAACTGCCGGATCGATGTCCACACGGCAACAAATATACTGGGGCAATCACTATCTTAGGTAAGTCGGGGATGATTAGAGCAAACATGCAACGGATATTTTCGGTTGTTTTCAGTTCCTGTTTAAGCAAGCACACCATTTTTGTGCCAGTTACCACTGAAGACCCGTTCAAGTACATGGAAATCCGTTACATCTTTGCTAGGAATCATGAACGGCGCATGTCCACTGAGCGCATTGGGATTCAAACCTGGGCACGGGAATTCGGTAATCCAATGGACGAACCATTGGGTTGTTTCGGAATTGCTTCCTACGTTTCATCACTGCATGATACATTCATCAACAGTCCCTGATAATAAAAATAGTTAGCCCGTCGCATTAACAATCTATCGTACCCGGTTATAATTCTGGTGAACTCGAAAGATAGGCATTAATGATTATTCCCATCCAGAACGAAACATCCTTAAAATGTATTGCAAAGCGTTTTAATAATGAATAATCCGTTCACTCTAGTTTATTTGCAGGCAGTTTATGTCATTATCCCGGAGCATAGTACGATGCTTTTATGGAATGAAATGTGATGATATAATGCTTGGACAAGTTTCGTCAAGTTCCAACAATTCTTCTCTGCATACGAAGCAGCGAAACTTTGTTGAACAATGGCTTGACTTCGGGAGTGCAAATGTTTTTAATAATTTCAATTTCCTCAGTCCAAAAAATTGTTTTTCGTTCATTTTCTCTTCGTACTGCATGCTGTTCAAATGGATAACCATCACTCATTTAAACGGAAAAATGAACTTACAGTTCAATAAACTTTCCAGTGCTGTAAGGAGACGAAGTGATGGTCACTTACAATGTTTGGGGCAATTCGTGTATAGAAAAATTGCAAAATGATATTGGATACGTAGATAACCATCTCTCATCATAAAACAGCAATAAAATTGAAGTAAGCCGTAGAAACATACCGTTATATACTTTGGTACACTGAGCTCCACGTGTCAATCGTTCCGTGTACTCGATCACTGTTAAAGAAAAAGAGGATGAAGTTGGTTTCGGTTACTACGATAAAGCAACGCACATATTCTGGGAAAATAGTAAGCCAAACTGATTACCTTCCCGAAAAAGCCGAGTTCATCTACTGGACTGTGTTGTGCGTCGCATGCAACTTGCTTAGAGCAAGTTTAATCTATTTTCGAACGGATACTGATCCCGGAGAGCCCAGTAAACTATTGAGAAAGTGCTGTGAATTTGGAAAAGATTGCAACATCTTTATAATAATTTTTATTGGATTACGATATCATAAGATATATACTGTGGACAAAAAATGAACCACTATAATCATTCGTGTAGTAGAGGCTTAAACACCTCATCTCCGTCCTACTTGTTGACGTTCCCGATTCATATCACGGTAGGGTCAATGGATTCTCGTAAATGATCCCGCTGAATAAAATGAAGCACTTATTTGATTCTGTCCGCAATTGCTCGTCTTGAATCCTATCAGTATAGTAAAAAATGTGACTTATAGCATATGTTCAATAGTATGAATTGTAAACTCACACTTCTGTGTCTCCAGCTTCGCCTGTTCAAAGCACACCGGGGTCACAACATTGATCTCTGTAAGGAAATGGATGGGGGAAAAACAAATTAGGCATCACATTTCCGACATAGGAACATGTTTGAAGAGTACATTTTCAACGAGCACATTTCTGAGCTCATTCGCTGACAGGGAATTTGAATTCACGGTTGGTGATGAAACAATTACGAGGGAACCGCGCACAAAGTTAGACTAACTGTGAATCATTTTTTCTACCTATCATATCAAATATTATACTGGAGAAAACGTTCGCATTTCTGGAAAGCTCTAGACATTTTAAAGTGTACCTTTCCCTCTCCGTTTTTCGCGAACGATCAGCGCCAACAATAAGACATTGTTTATTAAAACAAAAGATGAAATGTGTGGGAACTTACGACTAAGATAGTGCCCTCGAAATGGCGCACATACTGAATAGAATAATAGGACATTGCGATTTATCATTCAAATATGAAAGTAAGCAAGGGAATCTGATTACGAACACAAAGAATTTTTCTCTTCCTCTTGCAAATAGACGTCAAACTACATAGAGATCCTTTTATGGTTTGCAGAACTTTCGTTAAAATGCTTCCAAAAATAACCAAACATCTCCTGCATCTTAGTTTGTTGCATAACCCCCCTCCCCATACTTTCATTCTTGAGCTTCCTTATTAGCCTTTTGTTCTATTTTGATCCATAAGTACTTATATCTGGTCTTTAACAGAATTTTTCTCAATGTATTTAATCTATTTCAATCTATCGCCATCTGTGTATCTATTAGAAGAGCAACTCTGTTCTCCGCACCAAAGCACCAAACTCTTCAGGTTCACTATTGGGGGAATCCCCAGCATCCTTTGCTCGCTCAAATTTGTGAGTAAAAGACCGTCATTTATCCTTCTAGATTCGCAGCCTGAGATGATTTAGAGTGCAATATTTAAATGTTCGTCCCAATGTCTGTCAGGGCGTTTTCCCTTAAAACCACAGATCCCCTGTAATCCTCCTTGACTTTGTAAACCTTCATCACGACCACATGTCTCCTACTCTCATAAAGATTTTTATCATCAAATTTGTCGGCTTGTACTCTTGCAATACTCTAGCATACAAAACTCTGAATAAACACAGAGCACCGTCCCATCTCTGGTCCATCCAGGCAACTCTTGAGTTCTATAACCGGGTAAATTTTCATTGATATTAGAAATGACAATAACAAATATAAAAGCGGACTGAAGACTTATTATTGTTACTTATACATTTTTCTTCGCATCTTTTTCAGTGTAACGCTAAATAATTTATGAATGTGGTGTGGGCAAGGCTTCCCCCTATCAAACAAAAAGTGCAATGCCACATAAGATTTAGAGCGTAAAAGGACGTATATTTTTGAGCGACTGATAAGGTAAGCAGTCATGCATTACAGAGATGCACATTTGTTTGTAAGAACTAAAAGGCACGAATATATTGTGCTAAGAAACACTTGATAAATAAAACGTACTTGGTGGTGGAGGCTCGCAGCAAGTCAAACCTACAAAAAATAATAACATAAGGAATAAGGGATAATAATGAAGCATGGACAGAGAACGAGTTCGAAAACAGAGTTAAAATTTACTGGTTACGAAATAATTGTATCCTTCATACATTTTTCGGGTGTATACATCCCGTCTGGGGATCCACATGCACGATAAAATGTTTAGTTTCATTCTGAATTTCGCCACTGATTGTCTCGGTTAGGTATTCCGAGTTATAAGCTTTTTCCCAGTTGTTATTAAAGCACACGCATTACCACACACAAACCTATTCAAAGTCCAATTAATCGTTGAACGATCACAGACAGCGTTGCCTTCTTCTGTCTTCCTGATTAACCCTCAACTACCAGCACTCGGTGGTGAGATACTGCCAAAACGCCTTTGTTTGATCGGTCGTGTGTTTTCCATCATGAAGTTAGACTAAGCTCTTATTCTAATGTAGTGTGTTCTATACCCTACGGCTGTTTATTCACCATAAGACACTACTACGTGATGTAACATTGTTAACTTCAAAGCTTAAATGTCTCGCTAATATCTGACGATGATCAAGTGTTACAAAAACGTTCAAAACTGAACATTCAAAGAATAAAATGGAGGTTTCACCGTCAAAATATGTCCCATAGTACCAAAATTATATCTATCCCTACAGTCAATCAGATGTACACAGTACTTTCCTCGTAATTTTCTCTTGTTCGTTTCCTTGTTCATTGCACTGATCCCTTTTAATTTCACTAACTCGGAGGTTAAAAACGGGAACAAATGGAACACACATAAATATGCTCACAAGTTTAAACCGGCGGTCATTTATCTAAGGCAAGGAGCTTTCAACTCCCAACAACTCCCATAAGAGAATCGAAAATAGTACTTGAATAAAAAGGACGAACCAGTTGTCCAGTTTTCTTAGATGGCCTTCACATTAAGGCTATTAAATAGACTGTTTCCATACCAGTTTCTGGGTTCACCATTACCTTGGGACCCTAACTCCATGATAACTAACTTCATTATTCGCAAACACATGGGTATCATCAGGATTAGATTGACCATCGTTTTGATATCTAAGGCCATCCTGAGTTGACTGCACGTGGCTCTAAATCATCAGTCGGGGGGGGGGATAACTCTACTCCCCTCCGATTACAGGTACACACAAACGCAAACACCTTCCCTCCTCTTTACTCCTATCCATTTTCAGCCACACGTTGCATGATGCCTGAGGTGACACAGCAGATATCCCATTCTCGTTCTGTTCGCCGACAGTTTTATTTTTTCACCCCCATTGGTTACTAATTTAGTGAGGATAACAGCATCTTGATTCC